ACCCCCACTCACCTGTCAGCTACGCTTCTCCCCGTCGCCGGTCCCAAACCAATCCTCCTTCCCCGAATTTCCTGGTTGCAGGGGGAGGATACTGACTGCTGGGCAGAGAGGAGTGCCACAGGGCTGTGTGTGTTTATGGCCGTACACAGCCACTGCGGGCACGGGTGCCTCCGTTAGCTGATGGAGACACCCGTGCAGGGGGAAGGTTGCTGCGGGGACCCACTTGAAAATGAGGAATTACAAACTTTTAAAAAAAAATTATAACAGCCTCAATCAAAGGTGGGTCTCCTTGTAGGAAATCTTTTTTAAAAGGAGGCTTTAATGTCACTGTAAATAAATAAACAAAATCCAGCATGGAGACTGTGAATTTCTATAGTGGTCACTGCAGATAGGCCTGCCACCTATTCTGTATAATACAGAATCATCCCAGATTTTTAGGTAAAATGGTAAGTCGTGAATCCATTTAATATGGGATGCAGTTCATCCCGTATTTCCATGCAGTCCTTAAAAGAGAACTATGGGGTAATTGTTTTTCCCCATAGTTCTCTTAAGGGTCACGGGAGGACATAAACTAGCGTCCTCCCGTCACCCAAAGCTCAGTACATCGTGAGCTAAAGCTTGCAGTAGTCCAAGCTTCCTCCCGTGATGGACTACAATCTCACATTTAGTTTACTAATTTGTATTGAGCTTGTAGTCTATCACGGGAGGAAGCTTGGAGCAGTGGCTACTTTACAACACACACAGGGACCATGGGAAATAAAAGCAGCCACCCTCCAGAAGGAAGGACAGTGTCGGCACCAATTCAGAGATGATTTGAGGATCTACAGCTAAATGATATACAAATAAGATACATTTTTGTTAAAGGAGAACTATGGGGTTAAGGCTTTTCCCCATAGTTCTCCTTAGGGTAACGGGAGGACACAAACTAGCGTCCTCCTGTCACCCAACGCTCAGTATACCGCGAGCTACTGCTCGCGGTATACTGAGAGGCCGCAGTTGAAGCGGATCCCGACAATTATGTCTGGATCCGCCCAGCTGCGTGAGTGACAGCTGGCTCTGCCTATCTAGAGGCAGAGCCAGCTGTACCCGCCCTTCCCCGTCCGTTCCGCCAGTCAGCGCTGGAGGATCAGAGCGGGGAGGGGGGAATCCAGCCCCTCCCCTGTCACGGCTGAGAGCTGTGACAGGATCGGGAGGTGAGCGAACACCGCTATGTGTTTGCTCACTTCCCGATCTACTGAGCCGACCTGTGAAAGGCACTCACCTCATAGTTCTCCTTTAATAGTTAAGGCACTTGAATGCATTTTTAAGATTTACCTCCTGAGTTTAGTGTCACTTTAACAAGTATGTACCTTTTGGATGGACTGACTTTAAAAAGTAAACATTACTAAGTAACTATGGATACAGCTTTAGTGTTTTTTCTTAATCCAGATGAGTCCAAAATGCAAGATATCTGTGTCATTAGGAATTGGGGCAAAGACTATAAACACATTTATATGAGAGAAAGATGATATAAACACATATTGTATATTACTTCCATCCCCAGAAAAAAAAAAATTAAAAAGCGATTACACTCCCCCCCCCACACACACACATTTGCACTGCACCCTGTTTGGGGCCACTTTCATCCTACACATACCTACCTCCTCACCTACCCCATAATGGAAAGGCCTCAACATTTCCACTAGTCCCCACCAGATAATATATAATAACTAGTGTCAATCTGAAGTCAATCTACAGCTTTTCTATATGCAACAAGCCTGGAAATTGGCCTTGTACCCCTAATCTGCCTCTATCTTCAACTGATACAACTGCAACATCGTATGATACAGACAGGGAGGCATTTATCAAAACTGGAGCAGCTGTGCATGGCAACCAATCAGCTTCTCTCTCTCATTTTTAAATCTTAACTGAACAAACTGAAGAGAGAAGCTGATTGGTTTCTGTGCACATTTGCTCCAGTTTTGATAAATCTCCCCCCAATGTCCTTTTCTATTTCTATGTGGAAAAATTAAAGAAACAAAGTGCCAACTTTACATATAATTTCATTTTCATAAAACACTGGTAATGTAGAGGGAAAAACATGGCAGCTGCACAACATGCATAGACCTCTGGCTGTGGTATTAATGAATCTCATGGAACTTAGTACAGTGATAGACAGTACATAAAAAATGAGTAAGTAAAAATGAAGAATACATTGTAATAGATTTTCTTACTGCTATGTCACTTCTATGTAGACATTCAGCTCCTATGATTTTCCTAGTGTATGTAAAATGTATAAGTTCTGTAATGTCATGATCTGGTTCAGTCTCTATGTTCCTGATTTATGGCATGTCCTTATGGTCACACTCCCTGTGTCATCTTCTCCCATCCAGTCCTTGTTTCCACCTCCCACCCTTTTGTGTTCAGGTATCTGCCATCTCCCCGCCCTCCTTTGTTCTGATCATCTCTCGCCCTCCTTTCTATGGAAGTTTTCTTCTCTTCCTCCCTAGCTATGATTTGTTCTCCCCTCCATAGCTGCTCTTGTGACTTTATTTTTATGTGTCATTCTCCCTCCCGGCACCGCGAAGTTCTCCAGGCGAGGAACACATTCTTCGACCGGTTTTCTAGACTACAGTTACATTGCACGATCTCTCTCCCTTTCGCGTTCCCCGAGCACTCACCCGTTTGTTTAGTCCCCGTCCACTCACCGTCTCCACTGTTCACAATCAGAATCCGACACACAAAAGATGGCCGCCCCGCCTTGTCATACGCCGACAACGCTGCGTCTCCTAGGCAACCTGCCGCCAATCAGCGGCAGCTGGTACCCTGCTGCCACACGCAGATCGCTCCCGGAGAGGCTCCACTGTATTTGGTTCCACATAGAACTCATGCGGAATGTTCCTTCATGTTGTACAAGAGAATTGTAGACGTGGCTCTTTAGACTGTACAACTTAAGCACTTAAATGCTAAACTGGCCATGATCATTGCTACAGTTCATCTAAAATGTCATCAAAGCTTTATTATGCTGATCTCATTTACAAAAGGTGTTATGTAAAGAGCAGATGGTGTGTACCTTTGTGTGTAATGTGCACATTGTGTGTATGATGTGTAAAGAGCAGACACCGTGTACCATTGTGTGTAATGTGTACATTGTGTGTATGATGTGTAAAGAGCAGATGGTGAGTACCATTGTGTGTAATAATGTGTACATCGTGTGTATGATGTGTAAAGAGCAGATGGTGTGTACCATTCTGTGTAATGTGTACATTGTGTGTATGACGTGTAAAGAGCAGATGGTGTGTACCTTTGTGTGTAATGTGCACATTGTGTGTATGATGTGTAAAGAGCAGATGGAGTGTACCTTTGTGTGTAATGTGTACATCGTGTGTATGTCATGATGTGTAAAGAGCAGACGCTGTATACCTTTGTGTGTAATGTGCACATTGTGTGTATGATGTGTAAAGAGCAGATAGTGTGCACCATTGTGTGTAATGTGCACATTGTGTGTATGATGTGTAAAGAGCAGACGGTGTGTACCATTGTGTGTAATGTGTACATTGTGTGTATGATGTGTAAAGAGCAGACGCTGTGTACCTTTGTGTGTAATGTGCACATTGTGTGTATGATGTGTAAAGAGCAGATGGTGTGTACCTTTGTGTGTAATGTGCACATTGTGTGTATGATGTGTAAAGAACAGATGGAGTGTACATTTGTGTGTAATGTGTACATTGTGTGTATGATGTGTAAAGAGCAGATGGTGTGTACCTTTGTGTGTAATGTGTACATTGTGTGTATGATGTGTAAAGAGCAGACGCTGTGTACCTTTGTGTGTAATGTGTACATCATGTGTATGATGTGTAAAGAGCAGATGGTGTGTACCATTCTGTGTAATGTGTACATTGTGTGTATGATGTGTAAAGAGCAGATGCTGTGTACCTTTGTGTGTAATGTGCACATTGAGTGTATGATGTGTAAAGAGCAGGTGGTGTGTACCTTTGTGTGCAATGTGTACATTGTGTGTATGATATGTAAAGATCAGGTGGTGTGTACCTTTGTATGCAATGTGGTGTAATATGTACATTATGTATATGATGTGTAAAGAGCAGATGGTGTGTACCTTTGTGTGTAATTGTGAGGAGTACCATTCCTCTGACCAACACAGGAGCATTAATTCTCCTACTAACACGGGGCAATAATTACTCCCACTGCCACCAGTTCTTTTATTACTCCCACTGACACCAGGACATTTATTACTCCCACTGCCCTCAGGACATTTATTACTCCCACTGCCCTCAGGACATTTATTACTCCCACTGACACCAGGACATTTATTACTCCCACTGAAACCAGGACATTTATTACTCCCACTGCCCCCAGGACATTTATTACTCCCACTGAAACCAGGACATTACTTGCACTGACACCAGGACATGTATTACTCGCACTGACACCAGGACATGTATTACTCCCACTGCCCCCGGGACATGTATTACTCGCACTGACACCAGGACATGTATTACTCGCACTGACACCAGGACATGTATTACTCGCACTGACACCAGGACATGTATTACTCGCACTGACACCAGGGTATGTTTTACTCCCACTGATGTTGTGGCAATTTGTACTTACACTGATCACCAATATAGGGGCAGTTTTACTCCAACAGACCCCTCCACGCTGGTGAGATTTTCTACTCCTTCTGACCACAGTCAAATACTAAGGACAGTGTTTGTTTAAAAAGTTTGGTGACCTTACCTTTGTGTGTAATGTGCACATTGTGTGTATGATGTGTAAAGAGCAGATAGTGTGCACCATTGTGTGTAATGTGCACATTGTGTGTATGATGTGTAAAGAGCAGACGGTGTGTACCATTGTGTGTAATGTGTACATTGTGTGTATGATGTGTAAAGAGCAGACGCTGTGTACCTTTGTGTGTAATGTGCACATTGTGTGTATGATGTGTAAAGAACAGATGGAGTGTACCTTTGTGTGTAATGTGCACATTGTGTGTATGATGTGTAAAGAACAGATGGAGTGTACCTTCGTGTGTAATGTGTACATTGTGTGTATGATGTGTAAAGAGCAGATGGTGTGTACCTTTGTGTGTAATGTGCACATTGTGTGTATGATGTGTAAAGAACAGATGGAGTGTACATTTGTGTGTAATGTGTACATTGTGTGTATGATGTGTAAAGAGCAGATGGTGTGTACCTTTGTGTGTAATGTGTACATTGTGTGTATGATGTGTAAAGAGCAGACGCTGTGTACCTTTGTGTGTAATGTGTACATCATGTGTATGATGTGTAAAGAGCAGATGGTGTGTACCATTCTGTGTAATGTGTACATTGTGTGTATGATGTGTAAAGAGCAGATGCTGTGTACCTTTGTGTGTAATGTGCACATTGAGTGTATGATGTGTAAAGAGCAGGTGGTGTGTACCTTTGTGTGCAATGTGTACATTGTGTGTATGATATGTAAAGATCAGGTGGTGTGTACCTTTGTATGCAATGTGGTGTAATATGTACATTATGTATATGATGTGTAAAGAGCAGATGGTGTGTACCTTTGTGTGTAATTGTGAGGAGTACCATTCCTCTGACCAACACAGGAGCATTAATTCTCCTACTAACACGGGGCAATAATTACTCCCACTGCCACCAGTTCTTTTATTACTCCCACTGACACCAGGACATTTATTACTCCCACTGCCCTCAGGACATTTATTACTCCCACTGCCCTCAGGACATTTATTACTCCCACTGACACCAGGACATTTATTACTCCCACTGAAACCAGGACATTTATTACTCCCACTGCCCCCAGGACATTTATTACTCCCACTGAAACCAGGACATTACTTGCACTGACACCAGGACATTTATTACTCCCACTGACACCAGGACATTTATTACTCCCACTGCCCTCAGGACATTTATTACTCCCACTGCCCTGAGGACATTTATTACTCCCACTGCCCTCAGGACATTTATTACTCCCACTGAAACCAGGACATGTATTACTCCCACTGCCCCCAGGACATTTATTACTCCCACTGAAACCAGGACATTTATTACTCCCACTGCCCCCAGGACATTTATTACTCCCACTGAAACCAGGACATTACTTGCACTGACACCAGGACATGTATTACTCGCACTGACACCAGGACATGTATTACTCCCACTGCCCCCAGGACATGTATTACTCGCACTGACACCAGGACATGTATTACTCGCACTGACACCAGGACATGTATTACTCGCACTGACACCAGGACATGTATTACTCGCACTGACACCAGGACATGTATTACTCGCACTGACACCAGGGTATGTTTTACTCCCACTGATGTTGTGGCAATTTGTACTTACACTGATCACCAATATAGGGGCAGTTTTACTCCAACAGACCCCTCCACGCTGGTGAGATTTTCTACTCCTTCTGACCACAGTCAAATACTAAGGACAGTGTTTGTTTAAAAAGTTTGGTGACCCTGATAAATAGTCACCACCTGCTTCACAAAATATATGCAAATCATTCAAAGAAAATGCTAGGAATACTCAGTGACAATCCATTTTAGGTACTTTACACTCTTCAGTAAATAATCACTCAACTTCCTTTTTGTTCCTTCATTGATCCCACTGACTTCTCCTCTGCACACTCACCAGATTGATGCGACCTCTAAATGAAGGTATAACACACTTTGTAGATTACATCTGCATCACCATGTATCTGTCCCTTCACCAACTTTCCTCTCCCAGAATATGTGTGTGCAGACTGACACCAGTCAATAAGTATTTTTAGCTAAATTACTTTACAATACATCTTAACATTACTAGCACTTTATCATTCTAAAATGGGTACGCTGTCTCTGTAAACTGGGTCATATTGATTCTGGGTCTTGAAGTGTTTACTTGGTACACTGACACTGATCATTGTTGTTATGGTGAAATACTCCATGTAACATTGCCATTATTTTGGCTCTGATCATTTGGCAATATCTCTTACTGGGTTTTGGGTTAACTGTAAACTGGCATAAAGTTTACCCTTGTAAGGCTGTGCTAATGTAATGTGAAAACATGACAGTATCATATGCTCCAACATAACTCACTCCATAATGTACAAAATACATCACCCCTCAATATCTCTCAATGAACTCTTGCAACTCTAGGTGATTTAAATCAGAAAGATACAAAGGAGCTGAGTATTCTGTACTCTATGGAGTGGGTCGTGTCAGAGCGCCTGCAGTGTTCCAGCCAAGAGGGACCCAATCTGGTTCTCGTCATGGGCCCCAATTTATCCAAAACTGAAACTGGTTACATGCATTCCTTTTGCAGACTACAAGCACCCATGCCGACACAGATTATTCTTTAATGTTCTGCAACCATCACTATCCAGTAGCCAGTCTCATCAGTAGCCATGGTGAGAGCCCAAAGCCCAAAGGAAATGCATTAAGACTTAAATGATGGAGGAGATCAAGAAACAATTAAAAAGGTGTGTGTGTATACAGTATATATATATAGTATCGGTATTGGTGCCGATGCTGGGCATTTTCACAAGCACTCATACTCGTGAAAATGCCCTGATAATAAGCGCAGATGCTGGCACTTTAAATTTTTAAATAGGAGCGTCTGCCGTGATGTCCTGCGCTCAGGACCTCAGGGCAGCCTGCTGTTTTTTACTGCGCCATTCCAGCTGCACATTTCCTCCTCCTCCTTCAGCCCTTCTGACACCGGCCCTTACAGCCCTGCTGACACCCACCCATACAGTTCTGCTGATACCCGCACCCATACAGCATCTGCTAACACCTGTTCGTACAGCCCTGGTGACGCCCGCAGGCAGCCCTGATGAGGCCCAAATGCAGCCCTGGTGAGAATCGCATGTAGCCCTGGTGAGACCCAAATGCAGCCCTGATGAGACCCGCACACAGCCCTGGTGAGACCGCAAAGCCCATGTGAGACCCAAACATAGCCAAAAAAGGTATCGTAATTGGTATCTGCGAGTACTTGAGGAAAAGTATCGGTACTTGTAATGCTTCTCCAGCTGTCATTTCAGCAATTCAAAATAAGCAAACAGCTTATCCAAAGCAGCCTGACATTTATCTCTGCTGACAGCAGAGATACTTCTTTCCCCTACCTTCTCCTCTGATATAGACACTGATAGAGCCTGACTGCTAGGGATAGCCTAAAATGCAGGGGCCTAATGGTTGCCAAATGCATGATGCCGACTTGCTGTCTTCAATTCACCAAAACTTTACAACAGAACTAACATCAGCTCTAGCGGAAATACAACTAGGTTGAAATTGAGGTAGTGGGTGCAGACAGGGGAATGGCTCTGGTCCAGCTAGTAAGAAGTAAGGCCCTGGAGGCAAAGGATGAAGATCTGGAGAACAGGTCACACCAGACTTATTTTGGAATTTAAGTTCTGCTAGATCCTATAACAGCCCTAAAAGAAACAGCACACAATCTATTTACATTTCTCCTGCATCAGGTCAGACAAAAAAAAGAAAATCACATTTTGCATTGACCTCAGTCACAGAGTGGTGTTCAAACCACAAAATCCCAAACTCCTCAGAAATGTGATACTAAAATTGCATTATGTCTTAGCAATGTCACAAAATCATAACTCCCAATTCCCCCTCCCTCCTGCAAGAAAACAAATCACCTTTCCAGGTAGGGGCGAGCATGTGACAGCACTCGGTGAATCATGATTAACCCATGAAGTGTGAGCTCCGAAAAGTTGGTATGAAGTTACAAAGGGCTTTTTTCTTTGTCTAGTCTAGCAAGTAAGCAGAGCAGTGTAAGAGCAAGGTGAGTGCTGGGGAGGAGAGTTGGTAAGTGAACCTTGTCCCACATGAAGAAAGGAAAGGGTCTCTTTTTCACATTAAAGTGACACTAAACTCAGGAGTAAAACCTTAAAAATACATTCAAGTACCCTAACTATTAATACAAATATATCTTATTTGTGTATCACTCGGCTGTAGATCCTCAAATCATCTCTGAATTGGTGCTGACACTGTCCTCATAGGAGGACCCAAAGCTCAGTACATCGCGAGCTACAGCTCACGGCAGTCCAAGCTTCCTCCCGTGATGGACTACAATCTTACATTTAGTTTACTAATTTGTATTGAGCTTGTAGTCCATCACGGGAGTGAGCTTGGTGCAGTGGCTACTTTACAACACACACAGGGACATTCTGAAAAATGGCCTGGATGGGAAGGGGGTTTAACACCGCGGATGTCAACTGGTTAAAGTACTCGAATGTATTTTTAAGATTTTTTTTTTTGTCACTTTAAGAAATATAAAGTTAGGCCCCAGTGAGATTTGAACTCACGACCCCTGGTTTACAAGACCAGTGCTCTAACCCCTGAGCTATGGAGCCACTTGGTTTCACACTCACACCTTTGTTTGTCATGCAAAAGAACTTTCCAGATTGCACCAAGTGAATAGGAATAATAACGCAAACAATACAATGTAATTACTGCTTGAGAAGAAGAGAGACAGAAAGCGGTGGGGGAAAGAGTTGAGCAGTCACTGCTGCAGGACTGAGAATCAGGTGAGTATTTCTTCTTTATTTTCTCCCGTAGACCAAAATGAGCACTTATTCCTTAACCACTTGGGCTAGCGGATCCCGGGATTGAAAGTGAGGGGGGGCGGCGGCAGCAGACGAGGGGGGGCACACACCAGCACATATACACGATCGTCTGGCTATAGAGCCGCCGATCGGGTATATGTTAAACAGCCGGTAACGGCTCTATGCATTGCACGGGTCTTTTCTGCACGTGCGCTATAGGGGGCGCGTGCAAGCATAAAAAAAATGCCGTCTGGAGACGGCAACCCGCTAATGCAGCAGTGCCGTCCGTCCGTTTTTTTTCAACGGGCGGACGGCAAGAGGTTAAGGGTTCATTTTTAAAAATCCAGGCGGTCCTCTTTAAGTCCTAGTAGCTATTGTGATGTCCCTTTCAGTAATATACTGTCATGTAAGAGGTTATTTAGATGCCATGGCCAAAATTGTCATGGCTAAAATAAGCCTGCAAAAACTGGCTTACACAGCCCCCTTGTGACATTTATCTGTGGGGCAGGAAATGCGCTGGCTGCAACTGATTGGGTCGGGAGGTGGAGTGTTAGTCACAGTTAGGCAAGAACTTGGATTAACTCTGGTGAACTGGGTTTGCACCAAGCCCCCCAATTTTACTGATCTGGAGTTTACAGGGGGCTTTCTTTTCCTGGAATGGACCATTGTACAAACAGGGACAGGTGAGTATATACAGCTGGGGAGTTGAGTTGTTAAGTGAACCATATCACTCATGGGCAAAGGAAAGGATCACTTGTAAAAGTCTAGGCCCCACAAGTAAAAGTCCAGGCCCCAGCGAGATTTGAACTCGCGACCCCTGGTTTACAAGACCAGTGCTCTAACCCCTGAGCTATGGAGCCAGTCAATACTAATAGTCACACGTTTGTTTGTCATACAGAAGAACGTTCCAGGCTGGAAATGTGAATTGGAATAACTGTACAAATACAATTTAACTTCAGGTATACATGCCGCCAAGTAACTATTTGCTTACCAGATAAGTAATTTCACTGTGGCATTACCATGCCTTTGGCCAAGCAAAGTGGCAGAATGCATCGAGGCGCTGTGAGTACATAGTTCTGGAGATAAAGGGAGACAGAAAGCCATGCATGTGCCTTGTGATCCCGTGCGGCCGATCGCATTCCGGCCGTTGCATGGCTAGGGTGCCATTCACTTCAATGGAGCGCCACGCCCCCTCATGCCCCACAACATAGTGAGCCGGCCACAATGCGATACAGTGCGTTATGGCCAGAATCAGGGCCGGAACACACTGCATCTGGTGTGAGCGAGCCCTAAGAGATGTGCATTTGGATTCGGACGAACTTGCTAAATCACGAAATTGATTCGGTGGTTTGTCCAAATCCAAAATAACGAATTATTATATACCCGAATATACGAAAAACTGTATTCGGTTATATTATAATGTGTTTTGTATGGGCACCACCATCTTGCTGCGTCTAAGATGGCAGCGCCCACACATGCGTATGACATCGCCTGATGCCAGCGTCATGTGCCCCACCTTCAAGATGGCGGCGTACATGCGCAGAACGCGTCTATGGCCACCAGGCATTTGGGTTTTTAAATGTGCACTTTTGGATTCGGAGGTTCGTTGTTTCCAAATCTGAAACAACATAATCATTTGTTTAATCAGTCCAAACGAATGAAAAAGTTGTTATAAAGTGCACATATCCAAGCTTATTCCCAGGGCAGATTTACTTGGCTTCCTGATACAAACTATCAATCAGCCTTTATTGTGTATACTGTATATATATCATCTATTTGTTGTTGTTAAAATATAGCTCATTTTTATTATTTTGCAATTGAGTAGAGAAGGCTTAAAATCCCTTTCTGTTTTAGGTTTTTTGGGGGGTGTACGGTTCCTTTTGGGAAGATTCTTCTGCAATTCCTGTGCTAGAGAGACATAACAGGAAGTAAAAATAAATCTCTTCAAAATTAGGGTAAACCCCTGGTCAGTCATTTGTCACTGCAGCAGGTGTCTCTACTGAAAGATTTCTCCTCTAATCTGGATTTCCCAAGACTTTTTGTGTTTTGAAAACTTTTATCAGGACCCCGCCAGGGTCTCAGCAACCAATGGTGATTGGTTAATAGTGACACACATGGAGATTTGGCAAGCTGACTAAATTGTTCACCTGTTTGTTAAACTGCAAACAGCTTTAGTTTGGGACGAACCCAAACCGATGCTTATCCCTACAGGCAGCAATAAATTCACCAAGACGTAAAACTACATATATATATATACACACACACTGTGGGGGGAATTTATCAAAACTGGAGCAGGCAAAATCTGGAGCAGCTGTGCATGGCAACCAATCAGCTTCTCTCTTTCATTTTCAAATCTTAACTGACCACACTGAAGAAGCTGATTGGTTGCTGTGCACATCTGCTCCAGATTTTCTGTGCTCCAGTTTTGATCAATTCCCTTGTGTATATGTATATTTATTCATATGTATATAAATATACGTATATGTGTATATATTTTTATGTATAACATTTTATATGCTAGTAACAGGCATATTATTATTACCAAAACTCATTGGAAGAAAAATTATATAAAACGAGATCGCTATAGCCTGATGGAACGTCAATGTCAGTTTACAAATAAAGCTTTCAGAATCAAAAGTCTCCGTCTCCAAGGCGACACGCCGGGAGGTATTTTCTATTGGCCACGTGAGAGGAGCAGGAATAGCAGTTCGTGAGTGCGGCATTACCGCCGTCTATGATTGGTCAGTTAATACGGCAGACCGCTATCTGTGATTGGTCAGGTAAAACAGCAGACCGCCGTCTGTCATTGGTCAGGTATTACAGCGGACTGCGTAACACGGAAGAGGTCACATCTCTGGTGAACATGGTGCTGCTGACTATCCTGAAGAAGCTGAAGCAGAAGGAGCGGGAGGTCCGCCTTCTCATGCTGTATCCTGTATATGTGTGTGTATGAGGAGGAGGGAGTTCGGGTGCTCCTCGGTCTGGCTGGTGAAGTTGTTATTTATCTATTGGAGATGTTCTCTGGTCTCGCATCCCATTCATACAAAAGCGCCCTGCCCACTTCAACTGCACATGGAGTACAGGTCCATCCATGTCCCATCAGACAGCAAGGCATGTATGGAGGTGCAGTCTCTCTGGGTGAAGGATCAGGCCGAGCCTAAGTGTTGTATAGGGGGAGACTGTACCTGAGCTTACTACACACGGGATGTCTGCAGTAGTTACATTAGGCCAGAGCTTTCCCTATACAGGCACTCTGGCTAGTAGATCCATGCTTGCCCTGATCCTCAGATTGAATGGTACAGGTTTCTGCCCTTTGTGCTGGTTTTAAAGCTAAACTCCGAGCACAAAAACTTGAATCCAAACATACCTATTACTCAATGGGCACAAAAGATATAATTCCACTTTGTGTGCACCAAATGCCTTTTGTAAACTCGGTTATTGTCTTGTAAAAGTAGCAGTGACATCATCACTGTGCAGTGCCTGAGCAGAGCTGTGCCACAGACCCAGTAGGCTCCACCCACTACAGGCGGCCTGCGAAAATCTATTGGCGGAGTGGGCAGGGACAAGACCAGTCACCCTGCACAAGAGAGAGAGCAGCAGTGACTGGTCTTCATTCCGGGAAGCTGCTGCACAGAAGCAAAGTTTTACACTGAATTACAGCATAGATCTGGATGAAATGCACAAAGTACACTAAGCCTCAGATCCTGGAATTCAGCTTTACACAATCATGTTATTATTTAACCACTTCAGGTCCTGAGAAATGTTTTCATCTTTGCAGATACATGTGACAATCTGAAATGTTGCCTAGAAAACAGCTTAAAACCCCCATTGATATATTTCCTGAAAGCAGAGGTCCTGTAGAACAATGAAATGACAGTTGTGTTTTTTTTATGTTGCACAATATTTACACGTTTTATCAAACGGATCTCTCTGTACAGAAACAAAAGGGAGGAAGAGTCAGCAGGAGCCAGAGCATTTCACCTGCCCGTCTGTTGATCGCGGTTGCGATGCTTTACTGGCTCCAATGCAGATAAATAAATATACAATGTTTCCTTTTATGAAGACGTGTGCTTTTATTAATTTTATTTTTTTCTTAAGAAGTAGAAGTGTGCCTTTATCTGCTGCAGAGAGAAATCAGGCGTCTTCCTTGTCGGAAGGGTTGCGCTGTGTGGCAGAGTAGTGTAAGGCCGGGTTCAAACCTAGGCGGAATTGTTTGGCGTCTGGTTATTTGCACATTTTGCGCATATGTTAAGACACGCATTTTGACTGGCAGCTTAAGAAACATTGCAGGCAATAGCAAAACGCACGTACTTTTCCATTGAAGTCTGTGGGGTAAAACATGCTATTAACCACCCAAAGAAGCTCATGTACCTATTCGGACGTTTGGCGTTTTGCTGCTCAGGTGTGAACCAGGGCCATTGAAAATCATGGGATTTCTTGTGTTGGGTGTTTTAAAAGCACTTTTCCAAATGCTCAAAAATGCCCAGGTGTGAACCAGGGCTCAATCTCAGGGCTGGACGGACAGAAATAAAAATAAATAATGGGTAAAACCGCTTCCATACATGTATTTCATGTCTGTGTTTAGCTTTAGTTCAATTTCAAAGCAATAGCACTAAAACTAAAACCTGAAATATAGGTTCCCTGGGAAGAACAATATAGATCCTCGCCTCTCCTGCTAGAGACACCATAGTAATAAGGAGATCTCATCTGATGAGCCAGGATCTGCCACTGTGCTCAGTCATTCAATCCGCTAGTCGTTACATCACTGCTGTGTCCTGTAGTGACGTATGGGTCAGCAGGAGGAACTATGGAGTATACCAGGAGACGGGGTCAGCAGGAGGAACTATGGAGTATACCAGGAGACAGGGTCAGCAGGGGGAACTATGGAGTATACCAGGAGACAGGGTCAGCAGGGGGAACTATTGAGTATACCGGGAGACGGGGTCAGCAGGGGGAACTATTGAGTATACCAGGAGATGGGGCGTGATGAATGCATGTTGGGGGCCATTGAAAATTCACTGGGGGGGATTCATCAAAACTGGAGCAGACAGAATCTGGAGCAGATGTACATGGCAACCAAGCAGTTTTTCGCTTTTATTTACAAACCTTAACTGAGCAAACTGAAGAGAGAAGCTGATTGGTTGCCATAGGCAACTGCTCCAGATTTTGTCTGCTCCAGTTTGGATAAATTCCCCCCATGGTGTCTTGACACTCCATAAAATGTACATAGGTGTGAACAATATGGTAAATTGAATCTTATTATTCAGATTGTACTGTTCACATATTCCATGTACTGGTACATATAGATGTTTGTATGGCGTTCATTTTTGAGTGACTGTTACCTGCAAAGAAGACATTAAATACCTGCTGCTCTTTTTGAAGCCAAATCACTGGCTGAACTTTCTTCAGAAAAGGACACTTCTGTTCGTGTTCATCTCCTGTGCCCCTTCCCCCCCCCCCCCCCCCCATTTGTATAAGCCAGTGATTGTATTTATGTATTCCTTCAACACATTTTGAATTTGCTTTAAAAAAACAAAAATCCAACAATGCTCAGCAGACAATTGCCTTGATTATGATTTTGTTGTTTTGCCTTAACTCATTCTTACTCTAGAGGTTTAGATAATGCTGGAAAGACTACGATTCTGAAGAAGTTTAATGGCGAAGATATAAACACCATTTCTCCAACGTTGGGATTCAATATTAAAACACTGGAGCACAGAGGGTAACAGAACAATCCATCTTTATATTTCTAATCATAGATTTATGAGACCTGACAGGTTACATTTCCAAATAATTATTGGGGGAGGGGGAAAATTGCTCATCTTTAAGGTTAGTGCAGACAGGATTTTTTTTTGTAACTTTATTTTTATCAAAAAAGATCAAAGAACAAAACATGTGACAGAGCACATAGAGCAACGAGATGTAAATGTGAGGATACAGGAAACAAGAAAAACAGCGAATACATTCTGGTGTATAGGAACAATAATAGGAACAACATTCTCACTATGGGCCTCAGAAAAGTAGTAAGACACGGAGCAATGCTAATGGTTACAATCAAAGCATGTGTCGTGTTATCAAATAAGGCTGAATGGAAGAGCAATCCATCCAGAAATTATGAAAAGGGAGAGAAACCAATAACAATAGGGAAAAGATAGAAGATGAGAAGAAGAAGAGATAGAAAGGACAAGAAAATGTTCTGTAGCTCCTTACCATCAGGTCTCCCTTGCATCTCGTGGAAAGGTAGTATAGGCTAAGTGGGTCAAAAGTTGATAATATGAAAGTACAGGAGTTGTGCCTGCTTCAGTCACATGATCACCCCAGTGCTGTAATAAGGGAAACTGCTGAGAAGCAGTGGGCCATTCCCATGAGCAGGAAATTAGATTCCTGGGGGTGTTGTGTAAACAACACCCCCGGTTATTCATATAACGTTTGAATTTTTTAGTAGGCTACAGTTTGAAATAGGAAGGTCAACTTTATTGACATTACAAATGGCCTCTAGCAATTCTGTTTTTGTGTATCATTTACTTTACACATTTTCTGGCCGGTCTTACCATGTCATGCCATTCTATTTTTGGGCAATCCTTTCACCGTGTAGTTATGATATATGTTTAATTTTTGTACTTTATTCTGTAGATTCAAACTGAACATGTGGGATGTTGGAGGACAGAAATCTTTGAGATCCTATTGGAGGAATTACTTCGAGAGCACAGATGGTTTGATCTGGGTGGTCGACAGCGCAGACCGTGCAAGGTTGCAGGATTGTGCACAAGAATTGGCTGGGCTTTTACAGGAAGAGGTGAGTGCTTAATGACCTTAATAGCCTTGCCTGGCCATACACAATCCATTATTGTCATTTAATAAATTGCAATGTGCAATAAAAGGCACTGATCCAACAGTGCGGTGAGAATTTCTAGGTCAAGCAACTTCAACTATCACTGATTGTAATAATTTGGCAGATGCATTTAGCTATTATGGTGCTAACAGAAATAGGATTCCTTCCTTACACCTAGTATGGGCATAGCTAGGCAGATATCCTACAGATAATAAAAAAACAAGACAAGCACCATCATTGTGGCTCATTTTAAAATGTGAATTTGACAATTTTGGATAAAACAATGCAAAGGTAGCTATTAAAGTAGAATTTCAGAGCTCTGCTCATTTCTAATGCTTCATTATATATCGCCAAGTGGCTATTCGCACCTTTTAGTTTTTGGAGCATTTTATCTATGAATCCGTATTCCATTAAAATGTAACTATCTCTTTTCAACCCACCACTGTACTATCACGTTCTCAAACAGTTCATTCCCACACAGCTACCACCTCTTGTATCACTTCTCCCTCCTTTTTAGATTGTAAGCTCTCACGGGCAGAACCCTCCTTACCATCTTGTCCATGTATTGTAAAGCGCTTCTCAAACTGTTGACACTATACATTGAGTGGGCAGATTATTATGACCACCCCATCAGTACTTCGTTGGGCCACGAGCTAACTTTGTTGAAAGGTGATGCGAGGAATCTGACACTGACCTGTTGCCGTTCTGTTGTCTTGTACCAGTCTTGCCACTCTCCGTTCTGCCCTAACATTGACTAGTCGCTGACGGCCACAATTTGCACGTTCAGACCCAGATTTTCGGCTGACAGTCCAGTCTTTAAACACTTCAACAGCTGCTCTTGAACATTTAACAAATTCTGCTGTTTTGCTGATACTCGCTCCATGGCTCGCGCCAACAATCATCCCACGTTCAAAGGCTGTTAAATCGCGTTGTTTACCCATATGTTCAGAAAAAAATCACTTCTACTGTCGTGGTAAACAACCTGCTTCCCTATTTATAATGGTCTGGCCCTCTAGCAACTTCAGCGTGAAATTATAGCTAATTATAGCTAATTTGCCTACAAACGTCAGGTGGTCATAATAATCTGACCACTCAGTGTATAAATCCTTATAATAATTAGGGATGCGCCGATACCGAGTATTTGGGTGAGTACTCGGTATCGGAACTTCTGGTATCAGACAACGAGTCATTACACGCCGCCCGGCTTCCTGATTGGCCTGGAAGCCAGCTCCATGCTCCCCTGGTGACGAGGGAGCATGGAGCCAGCTTCCTGGCCACTGTCAGCCCGACTTCCTTAATGGGACTTCTGGTATTGGTGCATCCTGAAGAAGAAGAATAATAATAAATAATGCATTAAAACGTATGCCATTGTGCATTGCAGTGCAATTTATATTGCATATCAATATGTCTTAAGGCATGTCAGCACATATTAACGCACATTGATGTGTTTTGATGTCTTTCCATTGATTCCAAAAGAAAATGCATCAGGCAAAAATGCAATTGTTTGTATCCAGGCTTGATGATTGATCTATCTGCTGCTTTGTGGAGTTCAGTGACATCTGTTTGGCAAATTCATAAAAGAGAAAATCCCTATTTACAAGGAGCTATAATAAAAGTGCATTTGTCTTTAAAGCCCAATTGAACTTTGAGTTCAAATCAGCTAAATATATTTCAGAGAATATAAAAGCCTGTCCCATGCCAAAAAGTGGGACCCTTGCTCTCTTTGAAGCAGTGATTTTTTTTGCAGAGGTCTGACATGCCCCTTAGCTGAGTCGGAGCTGGAGCTCTCCAATCAGCGGCGTGGGAGGCACAAACTTTGCCGATTACAGAGCTATAGGTCGGAGTCCATAGGGAATGTGTCAGACCTCTGCAGAGACCACTGCTTTCTCACAGAGCATGGGGGCTCACTTAGCAGCTGCTCACAGGGGACACTCCCGTCTACTTGCAGTAGAAAAAAAATAAAATGTAAGACTTTGCTCCCCTTTTGTTTTGATACACCTGGAATGTATTTTGTTAATTTAAACTGAACATTAAATGGGGCTTTAAGGATGGTGGCAGTAAATCTATGTACTCAACATAAATCGTCTATTGCAGCCTGGAAGATGTCCCCCTGTCATAGCTGGTTAGATTGTTAATATATTCCAGATCTGGCAGTCCCTGAGCAAGTGGTGTACGTAGGGACCTGCTGCAGTCGTCTTCCTATATAGCCAAGAAATGGGAAAACACATTTTAAGTGCTTCATTTTTCTTTATCTATGGAAATAATCTGCTATTTGTTGCAAAGAAAACACCTAACCTGTTGGAAACTTGGCTTGTCTGACAAGATTTGCTTGCTGTGTATAGAGGGCTTTAGAGCCTCTGCTAATGGACAGTCATGATATAGAGGTGTGTGTGTCACCTTTCTCTTTAACGCAAGGCATTCTTATTTTCTTTTTTTCCCTCTTCAGAGGTTATCAGGAGCAACGTTACTGGTATTTGCCAATAAGCAAGATTTGCCGGGTGCATTATCTAAAGATGACATCCGCGAGGTAAGTAACACGTCTTGTGAAGTGTTGTATGGAAAGGCTCATACCATTGCTAAATGTATGTTTAAACCAAATTAACAGCGCTAGTAGGTGAATCAAAAAACCATATAATCGTGTTTGTGAACTACAAATCATAAGAAAACCACATAAATGCAAGTGCCGTTAGTCAATAAAAAGCACGGCACTGTAATAGTTAATAAACATGTGTACGATTAGGAGGTGATTTTTAACCAAGTGCTCCTAGGTGTCTCAGTGTATAAAAATAAAGTGGATCAGTCTGTAGACATTAAAAAAGTCCTTCACTTTTTTACACCGTCATGTGCATTAATACCATTAAGTGACAAATCATATGCGTGAAAAACTTCAGGTGGGTAAACAAAAATACAAACAAAAATAATTGTAAATGACAATTGTGCTGACAAAAAATGTATATAAACAAATAAAGTCTCTGTAATATACAGCTCTGCTTCAAAGCCAAATAGCACAGCCTTCCAATGTTCGGTAGAGTAGTGCTTTCCTGGGGTTTGTATTAAGATCAATACATCCCCCTAATAGAGTGCATACTCACCCCAAACTTTCGGCTGTGACAGACAGCCCCAAACACTTTGTCTGATGGGACACCGTTACTGCGGCGTCTTTCGTATCTCATTCTTTACCATCAGTCCTCAGTGTAAAGTCTTCCCACAGTCATGCAAAGAGAAATTCTTTCATCGGGTAATGGTTCCAAAAATAGTTTTAAGTGAAGGACTTTTTTGATGTGTATAGACTGATCCACTTTATTTTTATACACTGAGACACCTAGAAGCACTTAGTTAAAAATCACCTCCTAATCGTACACATGTTAACTATTACAGTGCCGTGCTTTTTATTGACTAACGGCACTTGCATTTATGTGGTTTTCTTATGATTTGTAGTTCACAAACACGATTATATGGTTTTTTGATTCACCTACTAGCGCTGTTAATTTGGTTTAAACATCCTCAGACCCAGAGTTCTTTAATACAGCAGCTTGTATTTTACATCACAATATTTATTCATTCAGATTGATGTGTTGACACGATACACAAAATATTCATCACATTGACTTTGCAGTATTTAATATAAGTAATGTGTTAAGGAAACACTATTTTGGTTTAAATCACTGCCACCTGTGTGATATACAGCTAATTGAATTTCTAGCGCTGCTTATCTTGTTATATCATTGCTAAATGTACATGAGTTTATGTAATGATCATATGCAAATTGCAGGAACCCAAAACAACCTGTCAGATTTCACCTTTCACTTCAGAGCTGTCACAATATTTTAAAGATGACTGGTTATGTGCCACTTTAATTATGATATTAAACTATAAAATAAGGGTAAAGTTTGGGGTTACCCTGTTTAATGCTCTCTATTTTTCTGCAGGCACTGGAGCTGTGTAACATTAAGACCCACCACTGGTGTATACAAGGATGCAGTGCAGTGACTGGAGATAACCTCCTGATAGGGATAGACTGGATACTGGATGACATCTCTAGCCGAATCTTTACAGCTGACTGAAGGGAACGCGGTAGAAGAAAGAAGCAAGTGGTGAAAGAAGGAGCATATGGCCTATTTATTTAATATTTATTTAACTGCTTTAAATCATAACACCGCTATGGCAGTCAGGCATAACTAAATGATAAGTAGGTTTTGTAATGAGAAGCAAGTTAGAAATGGTGCATATATTTCACTGACACTGAACATTTAGGAGTCGGTATACAGCTCTATAATAACTTCCTGAAAAGCTATGTCAGTGATGAATATAGCACGGTATGACAGGAGTCAACTACCAACATTTTTACTGGAGGATTTATTTGGTCTTTGGCACAATCCACCAAAACATTTGCCAAATCTGTGCTTAGCATCATGTACAAAACTGAAGCAAAAGCTGATGCTACATAGCTGTGTTTCTGGGTTAAAGCAACTTCTTGTCAGACTTTACTCTGTTGTACATTTCCTTGCATTTATAGTAGACTAGCAAAACAAGGGCTTGTGCAGGAGAGTGGATATACGGGGGTGAAAAGACACAGCTTGATACTCTGTCTTTGGCTAAATCCAAAATTTTGCATTGCCACCCGAACAGGAATCCCTCACATTGAAAATATATCCTTTCTCTTTCTGTTTAGTCTGTAGAACAGGAAGTGAAGGAATACTTCTATAATAAGATGGCCAGAAAAATAACAGCAGTTTTTGCCCTCCCCTACTTTATCCAAAATGGAAAGAGTTATGGATTAGCAGCATTACCATAGGAACTTCCACTGCAACATAGTGTTATTGTCTATGGGTCCTGCCAGGAGATAGGTGTATTTTCCACTTCCTGTAACAGACATAGCTGCCCAGTAAAAGTGTCAGATCATACTATATTGGCAGGTTTGTTTACTAATGGTCAGCCTTATTCGTATGGCTTGAACCTTTTTTTTTCCCAAAAGAAGAAAAAAAAAAACTTTTGCTGTATAACTGTTTGTTTTTAAACCGTTGGAGTTTTCCTTTCCCTTTTTTTTTTTCTCTTAAAGCAGAACTAAAGCCTCCTATTTTTTTCAGCCGAAGATAGCGCCACTTTAACCTCCTATTTAGATCTGCAGTTGCCATGGTGCTGCACATATGATCACCTATATCAGTCATTTGGGGGCTTGAAAGTTCTTTAAAACACATTGACAACTGTGACAGTTATCACCAGAGGCATGTCTTGAATGTAGCTTACACAGTGCATGCACTAGTAGGTAGAATATAACAGCTTGTTCACACCAAGTGTGGTGACCTGCATTTTTCTGCACCTGACCAATGCAGGACACTGCAAAGGCAATTAGAAAACAATTGTTTTCTATGCGCTCTGTTCACACCACAATGCGGTCTTAAGGTGGGTTGCAGTACGTTATGGAAAAATGCAGACCTGCTACATGTTTCTGCAATGCATCAGAGATCATCATCCTTATGTACATCGAAGCTCCGCTGTGGTGCATAGAAATGAATGATGTATCACTTTGACATGTCACTAAAGTTTATCAAATGTAAACCGTGCCTTGTGTTGTAACAACACATGTCACTGCCACATCACAACGGACACCAGCCTGCACACTACAATGGTTTATTGCGGGCTAGTGTGAATAAGCCCTAAATAAAATAAAAACACTGCAGAAAACAACTGGCATCTTTGGTTAAGAATTTAAACAGTTAAATCAGTGCGTTTAGTTCTGCTTTAATGTTCACTTGGTAGTGGTAGAATCTTGCACCATGGTAGCTATCAATCAATGCAGAAACGTTGTAGTTTAGGTGATACCTTTTACTGGGTAAGTTATTAGAGATGGAAGCTTTTGGGACCCCTTTGATCCCTTCCTTTATACAATTCATGAGGAAGAAATCTTAAGGGGTTCCAAAAGCATTTTTAATAATTGAATTGGCCAATAAAATGCATCATTTAAACTACAAACTTTCTGCTTTAAGTCAACTTAAAACCAGTCCATTTAAGACTACCCTGTCCAAAGGGTGACTGCTTCTGTGCAGTTACACTGCAGAATGAAGAGCGTTGTCACCGTGTTAGAGATGAATATTAACAAAGCTACTGGCAATAAAACTATGTTAAAGGGGGGAGCTCCAGGAAACATACACTGCTATGGTAATGCTAGTAGTAGACTGCATCATATGTGAAAATCTGGATTGTGCCCGTAGTTACTTTAAATTTGCATACAGTTGCCCATGTTCATGAGCCTTTAAACAACCCTATGACAATGATCAGTCACGTCGTTCAACTTACATGTTTTAGGCAAGTATAAAGGTAATTTCACCAAAACTAAATAATTACAATAGCCATAGATGTTAGATGATTGTCACCATTATGAAAATCAGGATGTCCAGGGTATTATGAACCTAGGTAGACACTGATCAGGTGTTCGTTTTCTTTAGAAAACATCCACAGCCGGTGTAGAAAAACCTGTCCCCTGGCAGCATGCTGTAGAGAAGTACCCTTGCTCTGTGTGTGGAAGCAGTGGTCTCTCTTCAAGGGTCTGACACATCCCCTGTTAATTAAGTACTATAGCTCTTCAATCGGGGAAGTTATGATTTGGAGAGCTTTGTTAAAGCAGAAGGCGTGTCAGACCTCTCCAAATAACCCACTGCTTCTACACAGAGCAGGGGACAGGCTTTTCTACTCAGGCTGTGGCTGCTTTCTAAAGGAAATGACCTGTAAGACTTTGTACAACTTTTATTTTGACCTTTGAACATGTTTAACTGATTTAAGCTGAAAATTTATTTGAGCTTGCTTTAACTCTTCTTCCTATATGTGCCACACCTTTTTAAATTAGGAAACGGCAGTCAACTTTTTATTCCACATAGTGGGCCTATTTAACATGGAAAGAAAACTTAACATTTTGTGTATAGTGGGCAATGGTTTCAATCTTTGTCAGGTTATTAATGCTGACTGTGCCTGTTGCTTTCTCACCAATTAAGATACAAATAAGAATACAAACTAATGAAGGTTCTATCTATATCTACCTATTATGAAAGGTTTGCTAGAATTCCATTTTACTAATGCTATATAGAGATCAGGACTCCAGATCCTGAAGACAGTTAAATAATAAGGAATGTATGACATATGATTTGCCAAGTATGACGAGGACGCCTTTCATGCTCTCTAGTTAATTTTGTTTGTTTCATTATCTCCATAAACAGTCTAGTGAAAGTTGGGTCTTGCAAGAAATAAACGAACAAAGCTGATTTATTTAATTTGATTATTTCATTAGAAAAATTAAATACTTTTATTCACGCATTCCTTTTGTCTAATCCTGACACTTTATATACAGGAAGCGTTTGTGGCTTATATATCCAGCGTAAATAATATCTCCTATAACCTAAAAATATTAATGATAATTAGATTACTGATTTTAGGTTGGTCAGTATTAATATTTTCTAACTTTATAATCTGAAAAAACATTATGCTTTATTAAAAAAGGGAACTTTATTGTATGTGTGGCCTTTTTTTTTTTTTTTTCTTTAATATACAGTCAAAATTATTACAGCTGCTGCTCATTAATTATAACACTCTTCACTATGAATGGAAAGAAATTAAAGTGACGCTAGACTCAAGTTGAATCTTAAAAATGGATTCAAGTACCTGAACTATTTACAAAAATGTATCACTCGGCTGTAGATCCTCCAATCATCTCTGAATTCATACTGACACTGTCCTTCATTCTGGAGGGTGGCGACTCTTGTTCCCCATGGTCCCTGTGTGTGTTGTAAAGTAGCCACTACTCTAAACCCTCTCCTGTTTTTATGGACTATAATTTCAGTGTAAATGAGCAAATTAAACCTGAGATTGTAGTCCATCACATGAGTGAGCTTGGAGCGGTGGCTACTTTACAACACACAGGCACCATGGGGAACAAAAGCAGCCACCCTCCAGAAGGAAGGACAGTGTCGGCACCAATTCAGAGATGATTTGAGGATCTAAAGCCGAGTGATACACAAACAAGGTATTTTTTTTGAATAATTGAGGTACTTAAATGTATTTTTAAGATTTAGCTCCTGAGTTTTATGTCACTCAACGTCCAAAAGCTACCTGCCAAAAATTGTGTCTAATGCAATTCCAGACTTTAAAACAAATCTTTTTTTTCCCCCACAAATTAGATACTTTCACAACAAACCATAAACCTGGAATATACCAGAACTGCTTAGGTAATAAGTGTATAATAACTTAGGTCACTCATACATCACACAGCAAAATGTGACACCCTTCACTTGATGGAAAAATGACCTCTCATTACGAGATAGTCAGGGCATTTTTCATTAGAAGTATGATTGCCTATCTCTTTGATGTCCCCTGCAAAAGGTAAGAGTTGATACCTGGCAAGAGGAAACATGCACACGGTGCAGTAGGTGTCAAAATGTGCATCTGTCTCACTCTTTTAGTTATTTTTTCCAGCTCTCCCCTATTGGAGATTATTTCAAAGGAAGCAGCAATCATAATTCTAGTTTATTTCTAAATTAGGAAAATTTGCATTCATGGGGTCTATTGAATTGAGTTAAATAAACAGGTTCATGAACTGGTTGGAGTTTGATTAATGATCCTGTGTAATAGTTGACCTAGATCAGACCAAAAATCTGATAATCTTTTTGATTTGCTCATTTCTACTTGCATGCCTACCATGTTATGTTTCTAACAACACAATTTCACACACTTTCTGAGTGCAGGAGAATTTAAGATCAAATTTTGCAAATTTCAGCAGTTTGCTTCAATGAAAAGGAATGGCTTTGGGACAGTACAAGGATTTGTGTTGTATTTAGGACAGATTAGGAAACAGGAAATCAAGCTACAGAACAGGCATATATAACTTATTTTAAATAAACATGGGACTTTAAATATCTTAAAAATAATGTTGTAATATCTGCATGCACCGGGATAATGTGTTTGGGGTGGAAAGGTCCACTTTATTTTAATCAATCACTAGTGGCCCATATATTGCTCTCTGCTTAAAAGCAAACCTGTGAGGAAAAAATAAACCATGTTCTAGGCACCCTTCAGCATCTCTATTTTACTGCTGCTTCCCTGCTACAGTCCTGTACTTCCTTGTATAAGGAGCCTAGGACACCCCACCTCCCTACCCACAATGCAGTGCTTGGGACCGAAGCGGCCAATCATCATGCTCCAGGACTGTTATGTAAGCGAAGGGGCGTGCAATTGTTGGCAATTTATGGTGACTTGCAGCTCTTCAGCATGAATCGGAGCAATGGGTTAGTGGCAGTAATGGTAAGTACAGGCACTGAGTGTAGGGTGATGTGTTTTTTCCACCACGTTTAGGGCCTGTGCAGGCGGGCTTTATTTACCTCAAATACGTTTTGCATTCTCATACAAGTCTATTGGGATGCAAAGTCCCCTTGAAGCAGGTCAAATACATCTGTCAATGAACTCGTCAATGATCTCCTGAATAACCTCCAAAGCTTCTCAAACTGTTACTGTCAAAACAAGCCCAAAGCCCATAAACAGAGGCCCTTACTTTAATATAACAATAGGCTGAGATAAATATGGAGGCTTTCCTGGCTGACATTTTTTATTTTATTTTTTATAAATGCTTGCTACCTGACTGTCTCTGGCCTCAATACTATAACCCATTGGCCTGAAAGGAACTTTCCCCATGCATAAAAAAGTAATATAGTCTGACCCACTTATCCTACATAGTACGTCACTGGGCCCGTTTACACACACTCCCGGTGGCTCTGTTTACATTTGTAGAGTCGGCTGTTGGTTTTACAATAGAATTGATACTGGCGGCTCAGCTGCTGTCAAATCACTCCTACGGGCTCATAAAGTGCCTGCCTCCCCCGCCCACACCCCCGCCGTGTTTCCCGGGCTCCATTGCCCCTCCTGCAGGCCCGAGACCGGCATCTCAGGTGTCGGCAGGAAGCTGGGGAGGGGAGCGTTCACCGATCTCCCTCTTCTATGGGACCCGTAGACGACGTGATTTGCATGACTTCCATTCCCCGAGCTGTTATTGATCGGCTCCTGAAGACCTACAATAAGCCATTGAAGTGCGAGCTGCACTTCAATAGCTTATTTCAAGTGGAGAGGTGATACTAGGGGTCTTTTGGACTCCCAGTATCACTTTAAAAAGGACCTGTCACCACCTATATGCTATCACGTGGGGGTCTTGTAAGCCCCCTATGTGATAGAAAGTAAAGTTTCAAAAAAAAAAAGTGTTAAAAATTAAATTAAATAAATGTAAAAATATTCTAAAAAATGTTTTAAAGTCCCCCGCCCCATGAGCATGTGCGTCTTCACATAAGCACGCGTCGGGTGCGCCCTCGTACGAAAACTTTGATCACACTACACATATTGGGTATCGCCGTGCACGCCAGAGTGAGAACAATAATTATAGGGCCAATATTTATGTGTATCCCTAAAGTGATGAGCTGTAGGGGCTCTTAAAGTGTTGTCTGTGGGCTTTTTGGGGTACTAAATTCTGTCGCAGTTTCACGGACGCAGACAATTTTGAGCCTGGGCATGTAGAATATATATTTACTCGCCGTAACCTCATCTTTTATATTTTACAAAAATAATGGGTGTTATATTGTGTTTTGTGGCACTGAATTTAACTAAAGTGAATTTTTCACAAAAGTTTGGGATTTGAAAAATAGTTGAGCTAATATCGTGCAACATAAAAATGTACAAGTGGCGCCATTTAATTCTACAGGGCCTTGGCTTTTAGAAAACATACACTATTTGGGGGGTTGAAGTAATTTCCAGACCTAAAATGTGGTTTATAACATGTGCAAAAAACTAAAAAAGGCCTCCTCAGCGAAAGGGTCCTTAAGGAGTTATAAGCTTCATGTCGGATGGTGTTGGAATTTACATGAAGTGGATGACATCTCCCTACTGATGTGACAATGTTCGGAACTGGCTATTGGATAGGCCACTTAGACCCAAACATTGCATTCTGGGAGAAGGTCACATGCATGAATGAAAAACCCATTTGCAGCAGGTCAAATGCAAGTCAAAAGTTCAACTGCAGGTCCGAAGGAGGTCAAATGAACTTATCAATGAATTCTGAATGATTTCAGACGAATGTTGGCCTGAACAATTCCTGCCTGCAAGGGTAGTAGCGCTTTAGACTTTCTTTTTCTGTTTTCCTGCTCTGTCATTGACACACAGCCCTGAGTAGGTTCCGGGACAGGCTTTCCACTGTCACTTTGCCCTAATTAAGTCTTTATAGCCATGGCACCAGCATTGCAGCCAGACAATAAGCATTTTCAGCTAATAGAGCCTACAAAATGTCTGAGTACATCTTCCCTTATGTACAGGTTTGCTGCACTGAAAGGTAAGGCAGCGCTTGGTAGACTGGATGTGACTTCTGAATACACTATTCCACTCATTTGATCACACTGATTAAATCACCTCATCTGCTCTTTTGTCCAACGGAAAGTATCATCCTGGCTGCCCCAGCTCATTGGCAGTCAAACTGACACGCGATGATGTGAAATACGCATGCGCAGAACTCCTGGTTGGCAGTTGGTTGTCTTCCTCTACCGTGCGCTGCTCTGTACAATGCAGCTGCCGGATGGCAAGAAGTACGCACTGCGCATGCTCGGCGATGTCACCTGAAGCTTGCTGTCTTAAAGGGGCATAAACAACATTGTGCCCGAGGTAAGATGTCCCGGGCTGTCCGGGATCAGTATGAACGGAGGTATCACGTGACCGAGAACCGAACAAATCCAAAAGGATTCACGGAGTATAAGGTGATCGCTGAGGTAAGCGGCTGCTTTCCTTTTAATGCCAGTGCTCCTGTGCCCTGTCCACCCCAGTGTGAGTTTACAAGCAGTTAGTCAGCACACCTCTGCAGACCGATCGCTTCTAAAGTATCCGTACTCCGGTGCAGGGCGAGGGGTGGAGGGTGATCGATGTCACACAGCTTCCTGTCCAGTATAATATGTGCTCCCCACACACATACAGGGAAGAGGAAATAAATCTGCATTGTGTCAGCCATCAGTGATGAACAACATGTGTATGATACATGAGGAATGAAAGAGGACATGTCATGTAGATCCACCCCATGGTGCATGAGGAATGAAGGAGGACATGTCATGTTGATCCACTCCATGGTGCATGAGGCATGAAAGAAGACATGTCATGTAGATCCATGGTGCATGAGGAATGAAAGAGGACATGTCATGTAGATCAACTCCATGGTGCATGAGGAATGAAAGAGGACATAACATGTAGATCCACTCCATGAGGCATGAAAGAAGACATGTCATGTAGATCCACTCTATGGTGCATGAGGCATGAAAGAGGACATGTCACGTAGATCCACGATACAAGAGGAATGAAAGAGGACATGTAATTATGTAGATCCACTCCATGGTGCATGAGGCATGAAAGAAGACATGTCATGTAGATCCACTCCATGGTGCATGAGGCAAGAAAGAAGACATGTCATGTAGATCCACTCCATGGTGCATGAGGCAAGAAAGAAGACATGTCATGTAGATCCACTCCATGGTGCATGAGGAATGAAAGAGGACATGTCACGTAGATCCACTCCACGATACATGAGGAATGAAAGAGGACATGTAATTATGTAGATCCATTCCATGGTACATGAGGAATGAAAGAGGACATGCCATCATATAGATCCACTCCCTGATACATGAAGAACGAAAGAGGACATGTCATGTAGATCTACTTCATGATGCATGAGGAATGAAAGAGGACATGTCATCATATAGATCCACTCCATCATACATGAAGAACGAAAGAGGACATGTCATGTAGATCCACTCCATGGTACATGAGGAATGAAAGAGGACATGTCGTTATGTAGATCTATTCCATGGTACACGAGGAATGAAAGAGGACATGTCATGTAGATCCACTCCATAGTACATGAGGAATGAAAGAGGACATGTCATCATATAGATCCACTCCATCATACATGAAGAACGAAAGAGGACATGTCATGTAGATCTACTCCATGATACATGAGGAATGAAAGAGGACATGGATTGTGTGTGTTGAGATGTCATTATGTAAACCTCTTGCATTATATATTAGGAAGGAAAGAGGACATGTCATGGATGGTGTACACTGACATGTCAATATGTATCTTTTATTCCATACATTGCAGGTGTTTGTATACATTTTTAAAGGAAAAGTGATATGTTTAGATACATTGTATCATCTGTCAATATAGCAGATTATATCAGGAAATAAAAACAATGTTGAGTGCAGTGGGATGGAAATGGCATAATTATTAATCTGACAATGACATGCAGTATGGAAACCTAAGCCCTCATTCACACTGGAATCGGCCTGCAAGTACAGTTCCGTGCTTCGTGCATGGCCGTATCAGGCAGCTCCCGGGAAGAACAGGTGTTGCGTGTGATTAGTACGCAGCCCCCGTCCTTCTCTATGGGACTACGCGGCAGTACACCCCCCTACGCTCACCTCAAGTGCAGGTCCGTAGGGGTGCGTGATTCCTGGCTCGGACACAGACAGGATCCATCCTGTCAGCGTACGAGTACGCTCACCCGCACAGATGTGCTGGGCGGGTGAGCGTAGGGGGGCATACAACTGCGTAGTCCATAGAGAAGGATGGGGGCTGCGTAGTAATCACATGCAGCACCTGTCCTTCCCGGGAACTACTCGGTAGGGCCCTGCACGGAGCTGACGCGCGGGCCGATTCCTGTCTGAATGAGGGCTTACTCGGTGTCTCTCACATTCTACACATTATCCTTCTTTTGGTCTAAATGTTTAGACCTCTTTAAAATGTTATGTTTAACTATCAAACGTTTTTTTTACTGCCCCTAACCTTTCATCCAGCCTCTAAATTGTTATGTTTGTTATTTTAAAAAGTTCAATATAAAGCAAAAATACTGGTGGAAACAGCTTGTGGGTTTAACTATCATTTTGTGCATTGAGGTGAGTGAAAAGCACTCACCTCATAGTTCTCCTTTAATTCCGCATAGATCTATGGAGCGTGGCAGACTTTGCCTACATACTTTACAATAAAAGTTGTCCCTCCCCATGATGCAGAGATGAAGTACTGCAATCAGTGTGGAAGCAGTGGGCTATCAGCAGCAGTCCAATATGCCCCCTCTAAATCAGGCCTATTCCTACCACTCAGCAAAGCTCTTACTCCCTGCTGATTGGAAAGCTCTAGCTCTGATTTACAATGGTGTGTTGGGCCTCTTCAGAGAGACCACTGCTTCCACACAGAATGCAGCAGTCCTTTTTTGCAGACTGCTTTCTTCCAAAACAAACCGTAACAATTTTTACAACTTTTGTTTTGATGCACTGAGTTTAGTTAACTGATTTAAATCATAACTTATTTTGGCTTTAAAGTCCAACTTCACCCATTTATATTTTGGTTTTGGATACTGGAGGGAAGGCTTAGAACTTGTGTATCCATCGAGGAGATTAAATATTCACATAGCCAAATCACACTATGTAAGATGATCTGATCATATAGCTTCTGGGTGCAGTGAGACTAAAAGAGATGCCACAGGTGCGTCGCATAGGATATTTGTCTGATAAAGGCCACGTTGTGAAACACTGAAACGTTTCATATGTATAGTAACTTTAATGATTGTAATTTAGTAAAGCTCATTTGAAGCAATTTCCCAGTGTTCAGAAGACATCTTGCTTTTCACCCTTTGGGGTGATGTTCCCTCACTTCTTTTCCCATTGACTGTCTAGCTGTCAAGCTGTAACATATTTCTCCTGGACCAGAAATGCAGGGAAAGCTCCCCAATGGGGCTACTAAAAACTACCTGAGGTTTCTAACCATTCCTCACTGTACCCAAATCTAGAAAACTCAGAAACTGAATACATAAATACAACGGGGGGAATTTATCAAAACTGGAGCAGACAAAATCTGGAGCAACTGTGCCTGGCAACCAATCAGCTTCTCTCTCATTTCCAAATCTTAACTGGCCAAACTGAAGAAAGAAGCTGGTTGGTTGCCATGCACAGCTGCTCCAGATTTTGTCTGCTCCAGTTTTGATAAATTCCCTCCAAAGAGTCCTTACTTCGTGAAGGTCATCATCAGAGGTCATTATCACGAGTGCAGAAAACTGAAGCAAGTTGGTTTAAACAAAGACATTATTATGCTAATGAAGGGAAAGAGAAAATATATTTTGTTGTGCTTAGTATAAGATCTAACCAATAGTAATCACAAGACATTTTCCTATGGTCCGGATTAGACCACATGTGACCTGTAGGACTGTCCAGTGTTGACACGTGTGTATGGAACATGTGAGAACTGATTAGTCACGGATTCTGATCTTTAGTTATTCATTCGTTTACAAAGACATTTTAACAAGTCAGCTGCTTTAAAAAGAGGAATTCTGCTCAAGCAGCTTTCAATATCAGCCAGAAAACAAAGTTTCCCAAGCATTCATTCAGGAAGCAGAATATCAAAATGAATTAAAATACAAGATTATAAAAAGGGCAAATTTAACTTTGGTGGAGGGGGCGGGTACAGCTGGCTCTGCCTCCAAATAGGCAGAGCCAGCTGTCAGTCACGCAGCTGGGCGGATCCCGGCACAATCGTCTCAGCTGCTCGCGGTATACTGTATACTGCCGCGTCTCAGTATACCGTGAGCTACAGCTCGCGGTATACTGAGCCTAGGGTGACGGGAGGACGCTAGTTTGTGTCCTCCCGTTACCCTAAGGAGAACTATGGGGAAAAGACTTAACCCCATAGTTCTCCTTTTAAGTCAAGACTAAATAGGTATAGAAGAAAATGTAACTGGTCACAGTACCTGGATGAGTATACATAGAATGTAAGACATTTTTGTATTACTGATTGTGTTCCTGCTAGGGAAATTTAGCCTCACTATTAGTTCTGGTGACTTTTGCCTCCAGTGTAAAATTTATGGGAAATCCAACATTATAGAGTTTTCACAGTTACAGGAGGTGTGGGAAAACCTATTCTGGTTGTATAAGAGAGGATATTCCCTCACTTTGGAGAGATCTCCTCTTACTTCCTATTCCAGATTTATACCTGATATAATGTCTATGCTACCAAGGGCCATTAATAGTAATTTCTATGATCCAATGCACTTATGCAATCATTGGAGATCGCATTCAGCCACAAGAATGCAGGCCCCGCATGAGTCTAGCTAAGTCCTATCCATTTTTCCCATAGTACTTGATTTCAGACAGCGGACAGTGGAAAGCGGACTTCATATCTAGAGGGGCCTCTGATGCCTTCCCTGCCCATCAGTCCTGATCTAGACATTATATGGGGAATTCATGAAAACTGGAGCAGACAAAATCTGGAGCAGCTGTGCATGGCAACCAATCGGCATCCACCTGTCATTTTCAAACCTTAACTGAACAAACTGAAGAGAGAAGCTGATTGGTTGCAAAAGCCAACTGCTCCAGATTCTTCTGCTCCAGTTTTGATCAATTCCCCCCACTGTATGTATTTCTACACTGTACCAAAACTCATGCAGGGGCTGTCTGCTTTAGCAGTTTGCGATCTTCAGTGATTGCATCATTGCATTGTAGCATAGAAATCATCATGATTGCTTATGGCTGAGGAGACCTGTAAACAGGCCAGGCTAATATACTCTATGGGAGCCACGGAAATCTGCTGCACTGAAAGTGGGACTCAGTCAGTTGGACTAGAGTTGCTTGTAGTAGCAGTGCACTTATTACACAATGCATAACTCCTAGGCGGAATAGTTAATTATTTTATAGTAATGATAAAAACAAGCTATTTGCTAGGGATGCATCTAAATGAAAATTTTAGACCGAAATTTCAAAATTTGTCAGGCCAAAACTAAAAATTATTTTTTTTCCCCAACCTTTTTAAAATGTCTTTTAATAATTTTTTTAATATTTTATTTTTATGGTTTTTTTTTTTTTTTAAACTTTTCTTTTAGTGGCTTTGAGGAAATATTGGGGGCTAATCTGAATTGCTCCTTTTTGAGAAAAAGAAAACGTCTGTTCACAGAGCTTACTAGGCCAAGCTCAGATTCACACACAAGGGTGATTGAGTCACTGGAGTAAGGCCCCATTCCCACTAAGCGACTTATCGTGCGATTTCCGCCGCTATATTGCGCATTTTTGCCGCGCGATATTGCGAGAAGTCGCCGGCCAATGCTATCTTAGCTATCTTAGCTATCTTAGCTATCTTAGCTATCTTAGCTGTCTTTGCTCCATGTCGCTGTCACTCCAGCAGGACCCTTTTTTCCGCGGATTTTGCTCTTTTTTAATGGAGCCCGGCGGTGAAGGTCGCGCTACCGTCGCTGGACGTCGCCCCGAACAGTCGCGCTATCCCGGCCACGCGGATCCGCCGCTAAAGGTAAGTCGCTCAGTGTGAATGGGGCCTAACACCCTTCTCCTTCCCCTTTTTTACATGCTTTGTTCTTATTAGAAAACCGATAATATCCAGTGGACTCTGCGACATGGGTGAAACCTGTAGTTAATGTTTATTTAATAAATTAAGTTTGTTTTTATAAACAAAAATAAAATAATATGAGACATCATTTTAAAAATGCATCAACTTCAAAATATTTTATTTTTAAATTGACCCCAAATCATTTTACTTTCCCTTTAACCATGAATTTCATCCAGACGATTTGGCTAATTAATGGTAACTATGTTTAAGGATTCTGTCTTTATTTGCCTATTCAGACTATCAATAAACACTGTTTTATTATGTGTTAAATATCCATTTATTTATTTTCAGTTTATACCAAAGAAGGACCCTCAGGATGCTAAAGAGGTATTTACAGATCCTAATGTTGGCTTTGCATTGATTGCTCTTTTCTGGCTTAGTGGTTAGTACCCCTCTCATCCCTAGAAAAATTTCCTTCCACAAACCTAGCCCTCCAGCTCCACTTATCTTTTCTAAATGACAGCTTAAGAAAAGAAAGGAGGAATAGCTTAACAGGATTGAATGCGTGTTTGTTTTAAGCCAGGTGTACATGCTTCAGGTTTTGTCCGGTTCTTGATGAACCAGCTGAAATCCACTGCATGGGTGCTGCTGTTGGCACCCTTCTACCCGGCTTCCCTCGATCAGCTGATTGAAGAAGCCAGCTGGAAATTTCTCGTCAGCTGCTAGCTCCATTTCAGGTATTCTGATAGTAGCTAGCGGGTATTCTAAATATGGGAACGGCGGGGGATTCATCCATCCACGTTCATAAGCATTGATGGAGAAATCTGTTCTATTTTTTATGCTCAGTCTGCAGGTTAAGCAAAAAAAATAAAATATTGGAGCATGTATAGCCAGATTTGCTGATACATTTTAACTAGAAAATGCACTCTATTCAACTGACCTACAACATTATTATATTAAAAAAACAGAGTAAGCACACCATAACCACAAGAATGAGATTTACAACCACTGATGAAGATAATGATATCTGAACTCTCCATGGACACCACTCATTTTTGACTTAGTGCCCCAGTCATACCCACTCCTTGTTTGCCCACAACCTCTATTCTCTTTTTCTGTTCTCTCTTTTTTTTTTTTTTTTCTCCCTTTAACCGACCTTCTTCCTGGATTGAATCACCAAGGGGGCTACCTTTCTCCTCTTACCCAACCCCTGCCCTCACATCTTTTCTTGCCACGGGTCAAAAACCCACATGACCTCACTGTTGTATACCCTGTTGCCCCTTGGTCCCCACTCCTTTGAGTTGTTCCTCCTTATTCCCTCCATCAACAATCCAGACAGCATTGTACCTCTTGGAATACGGATTCTTTATTTAGGTATCTAATTCCATTCTGTACCTGCATGCAAAGGAGTTAGGTGGAAAATAGTTTAACCAAAAAAAGTGTATTATATCATGAGGGAGAACCCAATGTTTCGGGGGCGGGAATACCCTCTGTCTCAAGGTGTTCTCCTCAAGGTTGCATTACTGGCCCCCTGGTCTAGTGAACACTATTAGGAATGCCTTTCTACATGAAGCTTTACTACATCTTTATACATCACCACTGTGCTCACTGCTGTATTCAGATGTTTTTACAGTCATTGAAACAATTCATATAAAGAATAACATGCCGCCTTCTTCCAGATTGTGGTTTGGAAACGTTACAGTGACTTCAAGAAACTACATGGAGAGCTCTCCTACACACACCGGAATCTCTTCCAGCGCACTCAGGAATTTCCAGCGTTCCCGAAGGCTCAAGTTTTTGGTGAGTGCCTAACATTATATCTTAATTTCTCTGTATGGAACTTTCCCCCTTCATCAGGGCTAGGAAACAAACAGCCTATAATACCAAGTATCGAGAAGCTTAAAAATAATAACAAACCAGCATCTAATAAAATGCCTGTCAAAAAACTTTTTAAGCAAAGGACATCATTACTATATATTATATAATACCACGTAGTGGTATTATATATTTGTATGATAAGCTTCTGGATTCTTAGTATTATATGCAGTTTGTTTCCTAGCCCTGATGAAGGGGGAGTGTTGAGCTCCCGAAACACTGGCTGTTTTAAAAAAAAACATTATTTTTAATACTTTATTTTAATTATTGAACACAAATACAATAACAATGAAAAACGGTATTAATAGGCATGCCAAAAAAAAGAATAAACAGCACAACCAATCAGCAAAAGGAAAATATTACAAAGAGTATCAGGATGCCAGTCATTCACATGTCAGCAGTTAATAATATTGAAAAGGAAATATCAAATTGAAATCCCAACAAATGGGGTAGGATATTGGATGGTTGTTCTGAAAAAAAACAAGGGGGGCCGTGTTTTAGGTGGGAGCCAAAACAAGGCTCAGCACACTACCGAGGGAGGTCCAAACCCAGAAGAGACTAGAGAAGGGGTAGAGGTAAAAGAAAATGGATAGGGGGGAGGGAGTAAGGTGGGTGAGTAAGTGAGGAAAAAGACCAAAGTGCTCAGGGAGCTTCTTGAAAAAGAAAAAAAAATAATACGGCAGTACCATGCAGGGCAGAGAAGAGTGAGGCAAGATTACTTAGAGCTCAATGGGAGACTTTTACCCTCGTCCAAAAAGAGGAGCTGTTTCCAGTAAAACCATATCTGAATGTGATTATCAGGGGTATCTCTCACAGAGAGAATCAGGTCTTCCAGCCTTCAGATCTCTTCCACTCTGTTGATCCATTCTGTCAACGGAGGGGGAGATTCTTTCCGCCAATTGCTTGCGATGCAGCATTTGGTAGATGTCCGATAGCCAATTTCTTGTACACTTTTACTGGGAAAGCATTAGCATGTAGGAAACAAAAATGCAGGGTCCATAGGGACTGGACAGTCAGTGAGACTTTTTGTACAACATCTCTAATAGTGGCCCAGAAGTTAGACAATTTGGAACAAGACCAAAAAATGTGAAGCTGTGTGCCTTTTTCCGTGCCACATCTCCAGCACTTGTCAGATACATCTGGTAAAAGTTTGTGAATGCTAACATGCGTTCTATATCAATGTTTTTTTTTTTACACTTCTTGCCTATCTCTACTGCTTGCTAGCAGTAGATATAAGCAAAAAAAACCGGAGGGTTTAGAACCCCTTTAAGTGAGAAAAATAGTATGCATTGCCTCTGAGAGAGTGTAAAGCTCAACTCAAGATCCTGTTCCCATTTGAAAAGGAAAGGGGGAGCAAAAGTTGGTTCCGGAGAGACCAGCATGGAGTAAAGCAGTGACTGAGGTCGTCATAAGGGGCTCTGCGGAGCATAGAGATTCCAAGGCAGTCAATGGTCGTAGGAAATCTGACAACTTGGAGATGCTAGAGAGGAAGGGCGGTAACTGTAAGGCCTGCCAGAAAGGTAACCCGAAAAGACCCATTTGTGACGTAAGACACACTACGGTAGGCCAGGATGAGACTGTGACCAAGTTGGTTGCCCGAGAAATACCCCCATCATGAAGTTTCAAGCACACATTGGCTGTTTAACTACTTACTGTGACCAATAACTCTTGCTTGACCTGTTCAAGGTGTGTGGATTTCTAATCCTTTGTATGCACTGTCACTACTTCCAGAACCCTCTGGGAAACTCCAACTGACCAAGAGCTGCCTTGAAAAGTTTGACTTCCTTATACTATTCACTTACCCATGGGATCCAGTGCTCCACAAATGCACTTTCCACTGAGCAATAGAAATAAACATGCATTCTAATCCCGCCTCACCTTTGTTAAAATGTAAAAAGTAGTTTTTAATTTTTGTACTAAAGATTTGCCTATACATCATCCTCTCATTGGGGAGATTTCCCTACTGATTCCTGTTAGGTATACCATACTATATAATACCTGGCTTCATGTATCACATGTGTCTGCTGCCCATAGCAAGCAATGAGATGTTTCTGTTAAGTTAAAGCAGAACTTTGCCCACCAATTTAATTGTCTCCCAGAACTCTTAGGCCCCGTTCACACCAGGGCGGTTCAGCCGCGCGGCCCAGCCAACATGAATGATCCCATATATTGCTGATCCGCAACCGTCCTGGTGTGAATGGGGTCAGGGTTGCCAGTGTACTTAATTCAGCTCTTAACTGAACTTTCAAGCCCCCAAATGGCTGGTATCAGGTCAATGGCTGATCACATGTGCAACACCATGGCAACTGCAATCCAAATGGAGGCTAAGATGGCACTGATGGCATGATAAAAGGGTGTAGTTCTGCTTTAATAAACTACAACTAAAAGGACATCTGTAAAACAATTGTTCTCATACATCTTTGACACACATCTGCCCTTTGTTGTCAGGACGTTTTGAAGCCCCTGTTATAGAGGAACGCAGACAAGCTGCAGAAGATATGCTCAGATTCACTGTGAACATCCCAGCACTGAATAACAGCCCCCAGTTGAAGGAGTTCTTCAGGGTAAGACAGATATGTTATGTGTGATGGGGTATGAGAGGGGGTTACATTCTTCTGCCTGCCAATTTATTAATGGAGTTATGTATGCTATCCACAGACTGGAGAGGCCACTATGCGATCAAATGGTCCAGATGCAACAGAGACACTTGTGTTGCCCCCTCCTTTAATTCCAGAGCCAGTAAGAAGCTCTTCAATTGAAGTTAAAGAAGAAGTGACAAATGATTCAGATGTGACAGAGTCTGCAGAGGCAGCTGAGCACATAGAGGACATCAGCAGTAAAGGTACTGAAAGTTTCTGTTTTACATTCTTATCCTTAAACAAGACAGTTTACAGAGTAACTTATATGAGAGGGAGATTTCCTCTGACCGGCAGTGCCGAGAAGGAACATGAAGCCGACTTCCCGGCCAATCAGGAAGCCGGGCGGCGAGTAGAGACTCGCCACCTGGCTTCCTGATTGCTTGGGAACCCAGCTCCATGCTGTTTGGCCAGCCTGATGCTGATTGGCCGGGAAGTCGGCTCCATGCTGATTGGCTGGGAAGCCATCTTCCCTGCCAATCAGCATCAGGCTGGCCAAACAGCATGGAGCTGGGTTCCCAAGCAATCAGGAAGCCCGGCGACATGTAATGACCCGCCTCCCGGCTTCCTAATTGGTCTGGAAGCCGTCCCGATGCTGATTGGCTGGAAGCTGGCTTCCCGGCCAATCGGCATCGAGCCAGCCAAACCGGAAGGGAGCCGACTTCATGGGCAATCAAGAAGCCGGGCGCTGGGTATTGACACGGCTCTATGCTAGCGGAAGTACTGGTACTAGGTATCGGCGAGTACCGAAAGATAAATATTGGTACTCTTACTGGATACCGGAAAAACTACTGGATACACATGAAGACTTAGAGTTGTATTTCTAAAACGTTCACAGAGCCATTTGTTCTGCAAAAATGTGACTTCATTCACACCGCATTATGACCACCAGATGGAGCTGAGGAGCATAGGAAGATAAGAGACCCACAATGAAAAGCTTACAGCAGATTCTGTATGCCAGATAATACATCTGTTTTTCACTATACAGAGCAAACTGAGTTTGATGTACTGTTTGGTCTGAATGAAGACTTATGCTGTTTAGAAGATGAAGACATCCAGGACCCCTCGCCATCTACTAGTACACTGACTGCCAATGACTTGGCAATATTCGACCCTTGTTATTCTGAAGGTGAGTGAGTATATCTAACAGGAACTAAAGTAAGAGGGTTGGCATTGTCTGGTCATTTTGTCTCTCGTAGTATTTTCTCTACTAAGAGTATTATCTTGAAGACAATGCCATTTGATTTGTTTTTCTTTGTAAAAAAATGTCAATACCACTGACCATGGCGTGAACTTTAGTTTATAACCTGCCACATCGAAGATCAGTTTCCTGTGTCCCTCAATGAACATAGAGTAAACGTAGGGCAAAGGATTTTAGGGTGAGTACAAAAATCCTACATAAAGTGTTCTAGAATGGTTTGAATATTGTAGAGTTCTATTAAATTGTCTTGTTACCTCACATTTCTAACCATGACTGCCAGATGTTATATTTAACATAAGTCCGTTCAGATGTATACGTTTCAATGAGATCAACCATAAACATTTTTATATAAAGTACATTATATGGACAAAGGTTTATGAACAGCTGGCCATCACATCTATATGAGCTTGTTAACTATACTATTCCAAAACCATGGACGTTAATATGGAGGTGGTTCTTCTTTGTGGCTATAACATCCTCCTTTCTTTTGGAAAGGCTTTCCATAAGACTTTGGAGGGTGTCTGTGGAAATGTTGCCCATTTGCCAAAAATCATCTGTGAGGTCAGGTACTGATGTTGCATGAGAAAACCTGGCTCGCATGCAGCGTTCCAATTCATCCCAGATGTGTGTAATACAGTTGTGGTGAGGGCGTTCTACAGGTGACTTGAACTCTTCCACACCAAACTTGTTTTCATGGAGCTAGCTTGTAAATAGGAACACAATCATGCTGGAGCAGAAAAGGACCCTACCAAAACTGTTGCCACAAGGTTGGCAAGCACACAATTGCCTAAAATGTACACTGTAGAACCCTTCACTGGACACGCCTGAACACAATAATTTGGGGAGGAGTCAACATACTTTTGGCTGCATAGTAGATGTGATTGCGGGGGTCCACTTTTGGCTATATAGTGTATCTGCCTACAATGATGGTGCTTTCTATTTCACTGTTACAAAGTAGTGAGACTTAATGTGACATTAAAGGATAAACAATGTTTCCCTCCCCCCAATGTTAGTGAAGCACGTAACTTAAATGATGTCTCTTAATCCGATCTTCCTCTTCTTTCCAGTCCTATTCAGCCTTCTCTCCAGCGCTGCGCAGGGTCTCCGATCCAGCGCTGACTCTGTGCTTGCTGGCACTTCATATCCCAATGTGTCTGCATGCGGATGCACGCAACCATAGAATTACCTTGTGTCTCTCCTCGTCTCCCAGACGAAAATCTAAACTGCGCATGCGCCCGCCCCAAGATGCTTTGCGGCCACCCGAGATTTTTTTAGATTTTCGGATGGGAGCGCGCGGGGAAGACACAGGTAAGTATTAACCCTTTTTAAAGCGTTTTTCTTTTTTTTTTTTTAAGTTTTTGCATATATCTACTGCTTGCTAGCAGTAGATATATGCAAAAAAATGGAGGGTTTAATAACACTTTAACTACTACAGTAGTACAGCCCTTTATGTCAACCTAGGGAGAAAGACAGGACAGTAGCCATATTGGCTTTCTGCATTTGTCCATTGTTTAATTAAAGCCGACACAACAGATGGGCCTAATGCCCATTGCCCCTCTTACAAGTTACGAAAGCATCACTACAAGAGAGATCTAGTATAGAGGCCTACTCAAGCAGCTGTAATAGTACCACAGTGGCGATCTTAGCTTCCTGAACTTAGGTCAAAGAGTCCTAATAATAAAGTTGATGACAGTGGAGGTTTTGTAAAAAAGCTTAGCTATGTGACATGGTTAATGTGCACGATCATCAAAATAATGCCAATGAATGCATTTAAATTTTCTAGAAATTCTAAAATAACTAAATATAGTGAACTTTATATATAGCACAAACCAAACAAATGTTTTCAAGTGTTTACCTTGCTAAAAATATTCCATATGGTGCTCCTGGTTGAAGGGTGGATTATATTTCCCACCTGTACATTCCTATGCTAAAGTACTTTGTTCATTTTCTTTCCAGAAGGTGCATCTAGAGAATCGGAAACCTCTTTGCATCTGCTGTCTCTAAAGTGTGAAGGAGGGGAGCTTCCTTCTATTGGCGAAGAAGATGCTGGCATTTACCTGTCACAAGCCACATCAGAAGTGCAGAGAGCAATGGAGTTAGAATTAGCTGGAAAATACCCAGAAGCCTTCAGGCTATTCCGAAATGCCGTGGATATTTTATTAAAGGGAGTGAAAGGTAAATATGTGTATCCATTTTTGAAAGCTATAGTTTGGCCATTACCAGAAACTTAGAATTAGAACACACTAATGTGTTGCTAACTTTGACATTAAATACTAAGATTCCTAAAAGCGATCTGCAGAAAGAACAGTGGGACATGCCTCCATGCTGCTCTTTCACAGATGCAGCTCCTCCATGTCCTCTTAGAGAGGACACTCTATTACAGCATTGGAACAAGTGGCCAGGAAAGTGACTTCTAGACAGAAGGAATGGGATAACACTGGTTTACTTGCCATCATCTCTAGAATTGTACTCCCCATTGTAACCAGGCGCCCAGTATTTGCCTGTTAGAGAATACAGCTGCAGTGATACCACTGCCTGTGGAAGGGGGTTCCACAAATGTACAGCTCTAACAGAAAATAATACCTTTCACCTTAAGATCTGCTTAAATATGATGAAGACTATATGCTAGATAAAGTCCACATAAAGATTAGTGCCTCTCATATACAAATACTGTGTTGTGAATCAGACACCTCAGGACCATGTGGTGTGTTTTTTTTTTCTCACTGCATTCTAATTTCAGGGTGATGATGTACTCACTGTAAATCTGAATAATAAAAGCTTAATTGCCCAAAATCTAGAAGGCAGCCTGTGAGTATTGGCATGATCGCCATGTTGTGTCAGAGGCTAATTCCTTGTAATAAAAAAAAAAAAAACACTTTGACCAAACTAAAAAAAGTCTGAGATGTAGCTATTCCTACTGGAGCGTCTAAATGTCTTTTTCCTTTGCTTCATATTAGATGATCGTTGCCCTGAGCGACGCGAGGCTGTCACACGTAGAACAGCAGAATATCTCCATCACGCAGAGAAGATCTTTCAGGAGCACATGGATGGAAGTTCATCCGATGAGCACAAAAAATCCCCTTAAATATGGCTGTAAATTACTTTTTTATATTAAGAACAATTTTTTTTTATTTCTTTTTATTTAACTTCAGGGTCCTGGATGTGTATAGTGAGAGGAAGTATGCACACAATCCTTTGCGTTTGAATAGAAAAGAACAAATTGTCTGTTTTAGTCTTTCTTCATTTATTCACAGAGGAAGAAAGAGCGAAGTACTTCCACGTGTTCAGAAACGGTGGACACTACTGCAGACATTGCTCTCTGCAATTCTTTTTGAAGACTTCAATAATGCTACTTCTTTTTTGTTTAGTAATTGCTGTAAATGTACTTACTGGAAACAATTATTTCTAAAGCAAAAGTGATTTCTGCTTACTGATAAAAGCAGAGTTTGTGTTTTATATTATTTAAGCTGAGTTCCAGGATGTAAAATGTGCAATTTATTAGAACAATCTCCCTCTGTGCACTGTTTAGATGTGTTTTTTTTTCTTGTCATTCAGCATCTAAGTTTCTGAACTAGGCATCATTGTTATGGTCATGTGACCTGCAGATTGCCTTCTCTTCTTTATAACCCTCAGTTATTTGAGTCATAGAGAGTGCATGTTACTAACGGGTCCAGTTGGGATACATTCTGCTGCTAATAATGCCCAAAAAAGACATTGGTTATCACCATAACATACTGTAAGGACTACCTGGGGTGTGTCTATAAGGGCCCATTCACACCACATCATCATTGCAGATCATCTCCAGACCAGATTGTTTCCGGACCAAAAATGTATCCCTATGCTATTTCTGGCCTCTGTTCACACCAGCACAGTCTGTACCAGACCAGAAAAATACTACATGTCTCATTTTGTCTGGTCTGGAATGCACTGGAATGCATAAAAAACATCGAAAACGCACTGGACCGCACCTGATAGCCGATTTTAACCACTTCATGACCAAGGCCTTTTTTTTTTTAGTTTTTTGCACCAATGTTATCTACATTTTAGACTGAAAATTACTTCAAACCCCCAAACATTATATATTCTCTGAAAGCCAAGACCCTGTAGAATAAAATGGTGGCAGTTGCACGATGTTAGCGCAACTTATTATGAAACCCCCTAATTTTGTGTAAAATGCATTTAAGTTAAATTTAGTGCCCCAAAGCACAATAATATACCCCTTTTTTGTTTTGTTTTTGAAGAATAAATGGTTTTCGCATATGTAAATAGCATATACAATTGTAACAAAGCCTTACATACAGCCCAATAAACAAAAAAACATAAGTGCATGACAATCTATGTTGCGTATGCCACAGGAAATTGACAGTATACATCAAGACAAACAATCTATGTCAATCAATCGTCTAGTATAAACTGTAAAGAAGATGGTCAAACCACCGTTCAGGCTCTGCCCGAACAGAAATCTTGTGAAGGAGACGCAGTGCAAAGAAGAGGGGGTGGGGAGGAAGAGCAGAATGGGTGACAGAGGTAAGCAGGCATGGTGGGGGGTTAATTAATGAGTGAATCCAAATGGAAGTTTGGGGGCATATAGGAGACAACCCACGGCTCCCATATTTTTTCGAATTTAGGCAACAAATCTGACTGGACAGCCGACGTTTTCTCAAGAAACATAACTTGTGAGACCCTTGGTTTAACTGCTGCAAAGGGGACCGAGGTAGTACGCCATGAGCGTGCAATCGCTCTCTTGGCTTCAGTTTGGATATGAGTGACCAGCTTAAACTGGGTCCATGAGCATGATACCGGTTTCTTCCCGAGTAGTGCCCTAGTCGGATTTTTGCGAAAGGAATGACCTGTTACGGTATAAATTAGCTGATACAGCCTAGACCAAACCTGCCGGATCTTGGGGCACTCCCACCATATATGGATGAAGGTCCCGTCAGCCTGGCATCCTCTAAAGCATAATGGGGACCTGGAGGGAACTGCACGGGCGATTCGCTTCCACTGCCTGTACACTCGAACTTTTTGCGGTCGTGCTCCAGATTTGGGACCATATGTTCTCTCCAATGGGGCCCCCCAATTCCTGTTCCCATTTTGAGGCATAGGGAGGAAGTTCCCTCTGTAGGGAGTCCATCAAGGACGCATAGAGATGAGACCTGGGCCATGAGGGTTGAGCGTCAACAGTTGTTCAAATGAGGTCATAACCGTGATGTCTCGGATCGGTCCAGCGCACTGCCTCAAAAAGTGTGTAATTTGTAGAAATTGAAAAAAATCTCTAGAGGTAAGCTGATGTTTCCCTCGGAGCTCCGAGAATGTTACAATCCCTGCAGCGGTATAAAAATGTCTAGCTTGGACTAGAGAGCGAGCTGTCCATTTAAAAAAAGCCGATGGATTCATATCCCGGAGGGAAAAGGGGATTCCCCTGTATTGAGAGAAGGGGAGTGTGCGGGGTAAACCATTTCTGGGACACCTTAAGGGCATCCCATAGGAGCAGGGTATGTTTAGTGATTGGGCACGTGACAGTGGTCCGCATCTTGGGGGGTAGCCACGGTAGATTATGTAAGAATATGAGGTCACACAGATATGCCTCCAAGGGGACCTCCTTCTTCGAGTGCCACGTAAGGAGGGGAACCATCTGGGCTGCCGCATAATACTTCTGGAAGAGAGGAAGTCCCAGGCCCCCTTGCATTTTGGATCGGTATAGAACTGATCTAGCAATTCTGGGGATGGACCCGGACCATATGAATCGAAGGACATGGCGCTGGAGTAGGCGTAGCCTAAAAGCTGGAACCGGAATGGGTAAAACTCTGGCAATTTAGGCAGAAGAGACATTTTTACCGCTGTGATTCTACTTAGCCATGATATATGATGTTTATTTTAGGAGCGAAATCAGGTGAGTAAACAATTTAGGGTAATTGGCAGTATACAAGGTGTCATACGTCGGGGTTATATGTATCCCCAGATAGGGGAGAGCGGACTGCACCCATGTATAAGGGAAGGAGGATTTTAAGGAGTCATAAAGGACGGGCGGTAAGGAGACGTTAAGTGCTTTCGTTTTGCTTCCCACAGACACCCGTTTACCGGCAGGTGAGTCGCCAGAATCACTTCTGTTGTAAAGCCGACAATCGCTTTACAAATGTAAACAGAGCCGCCGGGAGTCTGTTTAAACCAGCCCAGTGCCAGTGACATACTGTGGACATCACTGGTCACTAAGGGGTTAAGCTAAAAAAAAAAACCTCAAAACGTGGCAAAAACAGTTCAGATCTGGTCCAGAAAATGATGTGAATCCAGCCTGCTGACGAGGTACTTATGTGATGCTGGGCGTCATTCAGGCAGAAACATAAGCAGTTACAAGTATTATTTTTTTAAACTCCATTCAAGGGACATTACTTTTGTCACATGGACAGAGAACAGAGAACAAACCTCAGTGACCACTGAAGTTTCCCAATGTGTTGCTTGCAAGGGACCCCTACACTGTCAGATTATCACAAATTACTGAGATTTGTCACTGACATAAAGCTGAAGGTGCATTTACAGTGGGTGATGTCCAGCTTTCATGTGAATGTATTAGCTTGCATTGGCTATTTTTCTAGTTTTCGCACATATTTTGAAGTTTTATGCAACCAGGTCACCACCCTAGAGCAGAGTGGAGTACAAAGGTTGGTCTATTTTGCCCTATAGAATGGTCACTGTTTTTTAGTAAAAGTAACATTATTTTTTTCTTTAATTACTTTAATCAAGATCTTACTTACACCGCTGATATATTTTTTTAGTTGGTGACTTTATTCCAGACTTCCACAATGCTTCATGAACTGGTCTCATTCTCTACATAGTAGCTATCAGGATAGGCATTGCCTCAACATTAGCTTTGGAATCCTTCTAGGTTGTCTTCCTACTCTTTTTACTTAGTGTACGATTTTTAATCATGCATCGAATAAAATTAATGTTTTATATAAAGAAACGTCTTTTCGGAACCACTTTTCCGAGTGCCTAAAAAACCCCACTCACCACAACTCCATTCTTTTCCAATTCAAAACAGGGGTGTGGCACTCCCCAATTAACACCCTCTTTTCCTCTTCCCCCATTCTCCCCGTTTAATTAGCTTTGGAAGATTGTGGGGCTAGCCTAGAATGTGTCCTTTTGGCACAGGGCTCTGCATTGTGGCACTTTCCAAACCTAAGTGTACAGGTTAAGTTTGCTGCTGAGAACTATCTGGATCCAGAGCCATGCCACAGCCTCTGGCGTTACCATGTCTCTAAAGGCTCACTTAGTCAGTAAGACTGGTCGGACTGAAGCATCGGGAGCTACCACAAAGTTGCCACCATGCTCTATTTCCTGCAATTCAGCCTAAAAGAAGCACCATTTTGCTGCTGCCCCTGAAGCACCTAGTTGATCTTGGATCTCCAGTTCTGTTTCATTGCCCACCTACAGTGATTTGGTCACCTCTGGCTGCCTGCAACCCTCATCAGCTGGCCAGGTTTGTGAGTACTTGAGGCATTGCCTTACATTGGGCCATGTTGCTTACTGCGATTACCCCTAATGGTTCTTGGGGCATTTACCTGGTATCACCAGATGGAACCTACAACTGGAACCTGGGAACATTATTCGCTAGGGTCTTGCTAACCAACACACAGTTACTGGATGATTTTGTCCATAGGGGTTTTAATCGTGCTCTGCCACCATGCTTGGCAAATTCAGTCTCTGACCCTCCTGAGACTGTGAATCAAACTGGTTCGGAAGGCCCTTTTGCCATTTCGGGGTCACGTTCAGGATGTCAAGAGGAAGAGGCTGTGTTTGGCTCACCACAGTCCCCCGGAGTTGACTAATCCTGCTGTTATAGGTTTTGTATCTTTTAGGGGGTTATTCACAAAAGGGTGAAGAGTGTGGAGAGGACAGGAGAAGTGAACAATCTAGGACAACATAGCTGAACTGGAAAATGAGCTGAATTGGAGATTTTTTCCAAATCAGCTATTTTGGCCTAGATTGTTCACTTCTCCTGCCTTCTCCAAACTCTTCACCCTTTTGTGAACAACACTGTTAGAGCCCCTATGGCTGTAAAGACCTTTCCACTACACCTGCTGTTTGAGGTATTCCTCTATGCTTACATGAAACACCCTAAAGGGTCCTGGGCCCCACCTGAGAATGTGCCAGAGCATTTTCCCATTGAGAACAGATTCACTAATAGTTGGTTTGCGCCCAGTTTGGATGCTCCAGTGATCCAGTACCTTTAGGGAAGTTCACTGACAGGAGGTTGAGTTCCCTTCCTAGATCCCCGTTTGAGTTAACTTGTTTGGCCCTCCATCCTGTGTTTGCTGTAATTCTGATCTGTCAAAGCATGTCCAAATGGATTAAACTGCTTAGAGTGGATCCTCCTACTCCTGGGGTAAGCCTCTGAACTGGTATCCTGCATAGAACAGATGTCTGTACAAAAGAATAGG